AAAAAAAAAAAAAAAAAAAAAACAACTTCTGTAAGTCTACAAAGTTATCATGAACAATGAACTAGCAAACACAGGCATCGCTCCTCAGGAACATATATAAGTTTCCCAAGCTTTTGGTCACAACGGTTTGTCAAACAGTCAGTAAGTAATCTTGCTTTATGCATATTTCTGTTAAAAAAAAATAACCTTTTCTGCTGCCTGCCTCACAAGCTCAAGGACCTGACTTTGATCCCCAGTACCCTCCCCAAAAATAAATAAATAAAAATCCTTCTTTAATATATATTGTTGATTCATTAACATTGTACATGGTCAACAGAACTATAAATCATGCTTGAAGAATGTATATCCAATAGTTATTTTTTTAATGTTAAGACATCACAATATGTTCTCATTTAGGAACAATAAACAGTACTTTACCAGCACATTTTGGGGCCAGCTTAAACACTAAAATCACCCTAAAAAACACAAAAATGTGACACTAAATAGTCTACGAAGAGACCGCTTGTTTACAGCGCAAGGCAGAAAAATAAAGCATTGCTCTATTTGACCTCAGCTGGGAATGTGCAGCCCAAAATTTCACTGCTCTGCATGTGAGCACATCCAAAATGACTGCAAGAGAAACAAATAAAAAAACAAAACAAAACAACAAAACCTGGACTACTGATTTCTGGCCTAAAATACGTTTTAGCCAATACATAAATTTGCAAATATAGACTTCACCAATAATGAGGACCGACCATATCTATGTGTTGGAATCTTTTCCTAGCTGGCAAGCTTCTTCGAGGAAGGGCCAGCCTCCATAGCCGCCTTTGGCCTTGCTCTCTGGCCCTGGAGACTGACCTTTCTGGACAGCTCTGCGCTGGCGCCTGTGTCCTCCGGCTTCCAATTGGGTCGGACCAATGGGAAGTTTTAAGAGTTGATGCGGGAGGGGAGGAGAGTGGGGCAGGTTCCTCCCTGTGATATTTGTTGCCTTGGACTTCCTCTGTCCATTACCAAAGTTTTCTTCTTTTCCTTTCAAGGCGATATTCACCAGGTGACTCCTTCTACATGCAAAAGGCCACTTTCCTTCCTCGTTCCTAGGGCCTGTGGATGATAATTCCTCACTTCAGTCTAGACTGCTATAACAAAAAACCTTGGGCTGATGACTCATGAACAGTACAAAGTTACTTTCCATAGTTGTGGAGATCGGGAAGCCTGTGATCAAACTTCCAGAACATTCAATGTCCCCGAGGGGATTTGCTCACTGCTCCATAGATGGTTGCTGCGTCCTCACCTAAAGACATTAATCTCATTCATGAGGCTGGGGTCCTCATGTCCTAACTGTCTCCAAAAGCCCCACTCCTTAATACTACTCGCTTTGGATTATGTTCCAACATGATCTGTGGAGGGACACAAATAGTTGAACCATAACACTTCTCCCCAGCTGTCATTTTCCTCTGTGTCTCTTCATCGGGTGCTCCTAACCCTGAGCCACAGTTTTCAAAAGCTCTTTTGTAAGTATGCTATCCTTGAATTATTCTAATTCAGGATGGGTTTGTTACCTGAGGGATGCCTTACTCATCTTTCTAAACTCTCGACCTAATGCAGAACCACAGGAAGTGAATAGCAAGTATTTATGAAATAAATAAATGATTGCTAAAACTCTCAATACTATCTGTGTTTCTGTTATTTTATGGGCCAATGCTACATTATGCCTTGGAGAGAATCTCAAAATCATCACACACACACACACACACACACACACACACACACACAGCAACATGGCTCTAGAAAGTGGGCTAGGGGGAACCCAATTTCTAGTGATTCCCTTAAAGCCACTGTAAATTTATATGTACTCTAACATAAAAAGGGATGTTTATTGTGCTAATCCAGCTTCTACTTTTAATCTTCTCTGATGATGTCACCTTCTTAAACCCCTCTAATTAGGGAATTCATAGCGCTTTTTACAGTCCCCCCCCCTCAGCTGAATGAGGTATATTCTGTCTCTTTAGAATGGTGAGCTTGCATGTTGAGAGATTTTGGGAGAATGGGGTCCGCAGGGATACAAAGATGCGTTCCCTCAACCTCCCTCAGATTATTGTCAGTGGGAGTCAAGCCCACCGGGAGTCCTTGGAATGAATGGAGAGAGATCTTGGACTTTCTTCCCTGAGTGCTGTGGTCCATGGTGTGGGAACTGACTCCCACAGTGGACGCAAGCATTTGGTAAACACAGCACTGAGCATACTCAAACTGCAACAGCACAGCTCTTATCCCGCTGGAATTTCAAGAGAAGGGGAACTGCTTTTTGTTGCTGTCCAGCAGTGACTGAAGAACCCTGAATTCCAAATTTCCACACGCCACCCACATAGCAGATGACAGCAAACAAGTATGAACAATAAATAATTGGGTACAGTGAACAAGAAAAATAGTCACCTCCAAATTTTGGCCTCTTCCACCAGCTTTGCCTTCCTCAAATCTACTCACCAGACTGCTGGTAAGAATATATTTTTAAGTGTAGTTTTGATCTTCTTTTACTGCTCAGTGACATTTTACTTACAGGGTAAAAATTTACCTTTCTGGAATTTAAAAATATGCCTAGATTTACAGCCTCAATTCCAACTTACCTACCCCTTGTCATCCTCACCCTTATAGAACACATAGAGAGACACATTCATGCGCTCTGGCAACACTGAACTAATAGCTTTCCAAAATATTCTGTTTCCTCTACCTGGAAAGTATTTCTTGCTAGATAGTCAGACGATAGACAGACAGACATTTTATCTCTAAAAATGAGTTGGATATATCCTTTGTGACTGTACTTCTCAAGCTGAAATGTGCACGTGATTACGTCAATAGTGTTAAAATCCAGACTCTTGTCCGACACGTGAGAAAGAAGTTGGACAATCTGCCTTTTGTACAAGGTGCTGTCACTGCTGGTCCAGGGACCACACTCTGAGGAGCAAGGTCCTAAGAAGTTTTCCCTGATGCTGTCCTCCCCCTGGTAGATTGCATTCCTTTCTCCAGGATCCTGGCTTTTTTTTTTTTTTTGACCCTTTTGCATTGCTGCTATAACTTCTGCATTATAATTTTACTTATCTATAGCTCAGCTTTCTCAGTCAGACTATTTGTCTATTTTTTTTTTTTTGTACCAGGGATCGAACTCAGATCCTTCTGCTTGCCAGGCAGGTCCCAGAACCACCGAGCTAAATCCCCGGTCCGATATTTGCCTTTTTCATTTGCAGTTCATCCCAGTGCTGGGTGCATGGCACATATGAAGCATTTGATATTTATGTGTTGAATGAATGTTGGATAAATAGTCTTCACCTATTTGTGGAGGATGAAACCACGTGACAGTTTTTACTTAAGCAAAGTTTTGGGAGTTAGCCATTTGGGAAATATGGAACCCAAGCCATGCATACTAAATGTGTTAAAACATACAGGGCTTTATTTGCCATATGCAACCTTTTACTTCCCAGACTCTACAAAGGAGAAAAGATACGTGTAACCTTTCTATTTTGAACAGTGATTGTAAACTAATAAATAGTCACCTGATCCTCATATAAATACATAGTCACAAAAGGTACAAAACACAAGATCTACAAAATGCAACTACAAGACTTTGCATAAAGGAATTCTCCGTGAAAAGGGCACCATTTTCAAAATGTGAGAGGAAAAAACATCAGGCAAGAAGCCCATTTTGTGGCACCAAACACTGGGCATGAGCAATTAACACATGTTTGGGTAGAGGCCCATGAATCTGAACTTTAGAAAGATAATATACTGGGGAAATTTTTCTGAACCAAACCACAGAGATCAGTCAATTCTGATGTTTTTCTTCTAGGCTGGATATCCCAGAAATCATCTCCAGTTAAGGGTCCTAAAAAGAATGCACAAAATGCTGAAAAGTAAACAAGAATGACTGTGGCTAAATTGAGTAAAATCATCTTCAGGACGATGTTTTATCTTAAGGCTCTCTGTTTCACAATAATTACAGTTAAATGTTATACATCTATATTGCAAGCTGGTCAAAATATCACAGGATTTAGAAGCAGGTGATTGCACCACTATCTGATAATTTCTCTAAGGTTTATCTGAACACTAGAGGAAAGTCAGTTCCTCTTGTAAGAAGACAACACTCACAGTTCGAATGATAAGTACAGCACACATGTACACCTCTGCAGCAGAATCTTTTAAAGCTGCTTTAAAGCTCATCAGTATGTGGCTTTATGCAAACTGACTGATGAGTTGGGAGAATTAAAGTTAATTAACTGAACAACTCTGAAGTCAGCAACTATGGTCAAGGTGAGGATGAAGATGAAGAAGGTGAAGTTCCTAGTGTGCTCACCTTCACGGTCTGTCTGTGCACAAATAACATCACTCACTGATCATGTTATATTGATTGATCTCTCTCTCTCTCTTTTTTCTTTTTCTTCCTGTACTGGGGATTGAACGCAGGACCTTGCACTTGCCAGCAGGCACAGTGCCACTGAGCTAAATCCCCAGCCCACATATTGATTTGATTGGCTGTCAGCATCTTTCCCGGCTGTATGGATATCCTTTGCAATTCTCTTCTTTTTCAGTAGGAGGCAGTGTTGAATAAGAATTTTTTAAAAATCTGCATGCCAGAAAGATTTGGACTAGATCTGTAACCCCCAGTTCTATCACTTTGGGCAGGCAACCTGGCTTTTTAAGGACTCAGATCATAATCTGCAAAATGGGAACAATAACACTATCTCAAGGGGATGCTGTGAAAACAATGAACTGAGATTCTGGAGGAACAGCTTGGGCTCAGTATATATCCACTTTGCTTCTGCAAGTGCTTGATGAACAGCAGACGTCCTTGTACAACTTGCAAGTAGCCCGGTAAGTGGTTGACTCAGTTTCCATCCAGACAGTGTAAGTGAGTACAAAATCCTTGCTCCTCTCCTGGAAGTTTGAGAGCCTTGAAGTCTCAACTTTAAAATTGCCAACCCTGAAGGCCTAAATGACTTTCACAGGGCCAAGCTGACCAGCACAAGGCTGCCCTCTGTTGATATTGGTGGGGTAGTGCAGACAAGGGGCTAATTTGCCAAAGGCTTGAAAGATGGGTGTCCAAAGTAGCTATTTCCTCCACATTCTGCACAGAGGAGGAGGCACAGTCACTTGTGTGGCGTAGAGTAGTAAGAACTTAAGATCTGTTTCGGTGCTTGTGGGTTTCCCACTCTCCCACATTCTCGTCTGGACATTAACTGCCCGATGGTCCAACGGAGGGATGCTAATGGATTGGCCCAGTTCATCCAATGGCGCTCAGTACACTCCATTATAGAGAGAGAGATGGCAGCGGCCTCGGTGAAACCTCAGAAAGCTGCTTCTCCAGACATCCGGGCTTTGGTGTGAGAAGCTGCTCCAGCTCACCAGCGGCAGGAAGCTGTGGCTGACAGAGTTCCAGCCACAGAACACTTCCTGGCCTTCACCGACTCACTGGTTTTCTTAGAAAAGGGGCCATGCTTCATATTCTCCTTGTCCTCAGACACTGGGATATTACAGGTCAAATAAAAAGTCTCTTGAGCCATAAATGTGAGATCCATGCTTAATAATAAAAATAAGAACCCCAGGTCATTCATCTGCCTCTCCTTACTGCCAAGAAGCGCCAGAAACATTTCCTGAAAGCTGTCGGATAGACGTTTGTGCACTCTGGGTGACGAAAGGCTAGAGGGGCGTGGAGGCATCGCTCTATGCGCTCAGCCCGTGGCTGAGCTACCTGGCTGTGCCTGGGTCTCTGGCCTCTGTCAGGATGCTGTATTCTCAGGGGCTCAGGAGCAGGCTGCCTCTGGGGAGTCCTGGACTGGTGGCAGCTTTTAATGCTCTGTGGAAGGAGGACATTCTTCCTCCTTTCGGGATGCACAGTCCATGGCGTGGCCGTGAGTCTCTATTGCAGTCCTGATTCTGCAATTTCAGCCAGTAGTCCAAACAGTCTGGAGAAGGATGGTCGGTCTTCCGGTCTCTGGTGATGAAGAAAGAAAACTCTGTGAGTTCCCCGTACTTATCTATTATAGCAAAGTCCAAAGCAAACCCAAATTCCACAGCAGTGTCCTCTGCTAATTTTAAAATATGCTTCCAGAGACTATATTGGAGGCATTATGCCCGCTGCAATTAAATGGCCTGGTTTTACTTCTCATTAGCTGTGTGACAGGTTGCTCAAACTATGTGAGCTTGCTTTTGTCATTTGTAAATAGGAGATGCAATAACAAAGCCTACCTCATAAAATTGTTTTGAGAATTAAAGAAATCATGTATAATAATGCATCATAAAACTAGTGCTAGACAACATCAAATGAAATACAAATACTTAGGTGTAAGCCTCACACTATATAACAAGATCTTTATGAGGAAAAACACAAAATTCTAGCAAAAGAAATCAAAGAAGATCTAAAGAAATGTAAAGATATTTCATGTTCACAGATAGGTAGACTACAGTGTTAAAGATGGCAGTTCTTCAAACCTTGATCTATAGATTCAACATAATTCTAATCAAAATCCCAGTGAGTTATTTTGTGGATATTAAGAAACCAATTGTAAAGTGTATATGGTAAGGCAAAAGAATCAGAGAGCCAATATGATAATGACCAAAAAAAAAAAAAAAGTTAGTGGACTGATGCTATCTGATTTCAGAATTTACTATAAACACATAGATCAATGGGACAGATTAGAGAGCCCAAAAATAAATTGGTATAAATCTAGTAAACTGACCTCTGATAAAGAACAAAGGAGGAAGGGTAGTCTTTCTGACAATACCATGCTAGAATAATTGGACATCCATATTCAAAATAATGATTCTAGCAAACATTGCTCCTTTCACAGAAACTAATTCATAAGCGTTTAATAGCTGGGGATTTAGCTCAGTGTTGCCGCTGGCTGCCTTGTAAGCCCAAGGATCCGAGTTTGATTCTCAGTACCAAAAAAAAAAAATTTTTTTAAGTGGTTAACAGAATGAAATGTGAGATACAAAACTGTGCAACTTCCATTAGGTAGCATGGGAAACAATCTGGGTGAATTTAGGTTTTGCAAGGAGTTTTCAGGTATAATATCAAAAGCACAATTCGTGAAAGAAAAAAATTTGATGTTGAACTCTGTTAAATTAAAGATTGCTCAGAGAAAGAAACTGCTAAGGAAAGATAAACCATACATTTGATGAAAATATTTTCAAAACACATATGATAAGGAACTTGTATACAAAAATATACAAAGAATTTTTAAAATTCAACAATGAGAAAACAACTCAGTTGAAAATAGGCCAAAGAGCTGAACAGACATTGTACCAAGAATATATGTAGAGGAAAAAACTGGGCGTGGTGGTGCATGCCTGTAAGTCCAGCACTCGGGAGGCTGAGGCAGGAGGATTGCTGCAAGGTTGAGACCAGCCTGAGCTACATAGTGAGTTCCAGGGCAGTCCGAACTACATAGTGAGACTGTGTCTCAAAAACAAAACAAAACAAAACAAAACAAAAATACGTAGAGGAAAGGATGTACAACATCATCTGTCATTAGGAAATACAAACTAAAACAAAAATAAAATACCACTACACATCGCTGAAAATGACTGGGAAACAACACACAAAGTATCGACATGGATCAAAGGGTACAGCTACCTTGAAGACGCCTGGCAGTGTCTTACAAAAGGAAACATAACTTTACCATATGATCCATAGTCACACCCTAGGCATTTATCTAACTGAGTTGAAAATTTATGACCATAATTAGATCCACATAAATGGACCCATCTACATATAAATATTTATAGCAGCTTTATTTATAATTGCTGAAAACTGAAAGCAACCAAGATTTGCTGTAGTTGGTAAATTGAAGCAAACAATGATATAGCCATACAATGGAATATTATTCAGCAAGGTAAAGGAGCTAGCAAACCAAGAAAAGAAATGGAGCAGCCTTAAATGTGTATTATTAAATGCAAGAAGTCAGCCACAAAAGGTTATATACGATATCATTCCTATATGTGACATTGTGGAAAAGAAAAGGGGGACTATGGGGACAAACCAGTTGTTGCCAGGAATTTGGACATGGGGTAAGAGAAGAAAGGGGAGCCCAGGAGAAATTTAGGGCAGAGAAAATATTCTGTATGATACTACAGTGGTATATACATGGCATTAAGTTTTTCTTGTAATCCGCAGACCTCCAGAGCACCGAGAGTGAGCCTTAATGTAAACGATGGCCTTCAGTTAGTAACGATGTATCAATAGAGGTTCATTAATGGTTACAAATGTACCACATTCAGACAAAATGTTAACTAGAGAAAACTACTCCGGGAAGAGTATATAAGAACTCTGTGCCCTCTTGGTTCAGTTTGCTGTAAACAGGAAGCTTCTAAAAACAAGGCTATTGATTAAAACACACTTTAAAGAGAAAGAGGTATGAAATACCAGTTATCATTGGATTATAACATTATTCAATTCTTATGAAGGGACCAAGATTTTTTAGGTGCTCTTGTTTATGTCTTTATTGTCTGTTTCAGATTATAAATGCCCTATAAATTTACAAAGTATACATTATTTAATTCTCTTAAAAATGAGGAAAAGGGGGCTGAGGATGTGGCTCAGTGGTTCCGCCACCTGCCCTGCAAGTGTAAGGACCAGAGTATGATCCCCGGTACCACACACACACACACACACACACACACACACACACGCAGGAGGTTCAGAAAATTGTCCAAGATAAAGAGGTGGTAAAGCTGAGACAAAATCCAAGCATCCTCTCTATATCTACTTTCTAAAAAAATTCTACCTTGCTGCCTTTTAATGATCTGAACTTTTACTCACTCTCCTCTTCTTCAGCAACTTTCCACTCTTGGCAACAATTACCACTTTTCTAGTTTGCCAGAAATACATAAGATTTGTGTTGCTGTGGCTGAAGGCACAGCCTATACTTCCAAGCACAAGGTAACAGCTGTCTGTGAGAGTACAGAGCAACTTAGTATGAACTTTGTTGAAGCCATTTGAATATTCTCATAGCACGAGTGAACTTTTGTTCCCCTAATTTGTGTACTTCAACGGTTCTATGATGTTACAGATGTTCTTCTCTCAGAACACTGAGGACTGATCATCCTGTGTCCACTTTCAGGAGCCTGGAATCGAAGGTCTAGAGTTGGTCATAAAGGCAGGTGAAGAAATTAATGAAGACTAAGCAGTAGAAATTCATGAATATTTGTCAACATTTGAGAATTTCAGAGGTGCTATGGATGAGATGCTGAAGACCATGAAATGGGTTGGTGTAGAATCTGGACCCACTTGAACAAGTTAACGTGGATTTCGTTTCTGCATACACATTAAGGTCAATGTTTCGGGTTTTTTTGGCAACTCAAGAAGTCAGTCCTAAGGAACGTCCACGAAAGCAGGAATTGGAAAGAATCAGAGTATATATAAACAGAGTCAAGGAAATAACAGACAAGAAAAAGGCTGGCAAGGTGGACAGAGGTGCAGCTTCAAGATTTGTGAAAAATGCTCTCTGGCAACCGAAACCTCAACACACAGAGAAAGTTGCCAATAAAGGAAAAAGTAAAAATTAACTTTTGGTTTTAATGTGCACATAGTCAAAAGGTACATCATTTTTATTGTTTTCATAACATAGATGATTATGTGGTAATGAGAGGTTTAAACTTAAACTTATGTGGCAATGAGAGGTTGGTATCGAAATTTACACTTTACATTTGTACTGCCAAGTATTTCCCCCACCAGAAAGACTGACTTGTCTTTATCGATTTTTCTATAGAGCACTGTGTGGTTTTTAACATTGTGATTTATATTTGTAGTTTACCATCTCTTTTGGCAAGATACTCACTTCTCTATATAGGTCAATCTTGCAAGTACCATTTTGAAGCAACTATGAAATTTAAGTTAAATGTTCTTTGTAGACATTTGTACTATTTTAAATGAAAAATGATCTCGCGAAGTATGCCATTTATAGGCTGAAATTTTAAGTACATGTGCTTTTACTGTATGATATTAAGAATGAAATGGCTTAAATATCTACTTTTTTCTGTGTAGTTAGTTCATCATGTTTTCATTGTTGCAGGAATTGTTGCTTTTTGGGTATTCAGAGTGTGAAAATAAAACTTTAAGACTGTACTTTAAATCTTGGTGTATTGCCTTTGTGTCATATTTAAAATAAAATATATTGGGATGGGGATTTAGCTCAGTGGTTCTGCAATCTGCCTTGTAAGCACAAGGACCCAAGTTCATTCCCTGATTACCCCCCAATATATATATATATTTTTTTTCTTATTAACTTTAGGTGGGAAATAAGGTTGTATATTGATGGCTGGCTATTGTTCTGATGATTATACCTTCATTTTTTTGAGACAGGGTCTCACTATGTAGTTGAGACTGACCTGGAACTCACTATGTAGCCCAGGCTGGTCTTGAACTCACAGCGATCTTCCTGCCTCAGCCTCCCGAGTGCTGGGATTACAGGAGTGTGCCACTATGCCCGGCCTGTACCTTCATAATAAAAGCTGTAAATGTGGGGAAATAAAAAAAAAAGAAAACTGAGACCTGACCTTATCTTTTTCTTTGAAACTACACTTATGGCTTGTGCTATTACATAGTAAATCAAACTATAATTAAGGTTGTTATTACCTCTGTTTAAGGATAGGAAATCTATCCAGTTACTAGACAAAAAAAAAAAAAATCATAGTGAGGATGTGGAAAAAAGTGTTCATACACTGTCGGTAGGAAAGTTAATTAAATCATTATGGAGAGCAGAACAGAAATTCTTCAAAAAACTACAGTTAACAGTACAACAGAAGCCGGGCGTGGTGGCACACACCTGTAATCCCATCACTTGGGAGGCTGAGGCAGGAGGATCGCTGTGAGTTCGAGACCAGCCTGGGCTACATAGTGAGTTCCAGGTCAGTCTCAACTACATAGTGAGATACTGTCTCAAAAAAACAAAACAAAGCAAAACAAAACAAACAATGCAATATGTCCCAGAAATCCTACTTTGGGGTACATATCCAAAGGAATTGAAGTCAGCTTATCAAAGGGAGTGGCTGCATACCTGTGTTGGTTGGTACACTAGTCCCAATAGCTAAGCTATGGAGTCAACTTAGGTGCCCAACAAGGATGAAAGGGTATTAAAGTGTGGTGTATACACGCAGTGAAGTATGACTCACCCACAAAAGCAATACCCTATCATTTGCAGCAGAATAGAAGGGCTGGAAGGCATTAGAGTAAGTGAAATAAGTCAGACCCAAAAAGCAAATTCTACATGTCCTGTCATACACGGCAGACCAAGTCAGGCTGAAGGCAGAACAGTGGTTACCAGGGGCGGGAGCAGGTGGGAGGAAGTAGGAACAGCACGAGTTGGATAATGACATCCAAAACACGGATGGAAGGAGTAAGTTCTTCATTCTACTGCACAGTGCATTGATCAGTGCACAATAATTATTACGTATTTAACAAATAATTCGAAGAAAGGAGTTGGAAGGCTCTAATTATACAGTAACAATAAGGAGATAGGAATGTTAATTTCCCTGATTTGATCAGTTCACATTATATCGATGTATTGAAATATCATACTGTATGCCATAAATATTTATAATTGCGATGTGCTAATCAAAATTTATTTTAAAAAATGTAAGGAGGTGGAAATGCTAACTGCTCTGTTTCATCATTATACATTGTATGAATTATTAAGTGTATTGAACTATCTCACTGCACCCCACAAATATGATCAACTAAAGGAGTAATTTTTTTTTTTTAATTTAAAGATTCTCAAAAGATGCGGGAGGATGAAGAAGTGGAAATAGAGTGTTTGTAAACGGGGAGGGGACTGACGGGGGAGGGGATGAGGGCCAGGAGCTGGAGTGTGGGGTACAGGATCCCCATGATGAATGTGGCTGTGCTGTATGCCTGGAATGTACCAATAAACTCAATTTTAAAAAATAGATAAATTTAAAGATTCTCAAAGTCACATTCCTGCGAATCTGTTTTATTCTTCCCTGCTGCCTCCCACTTCTAAAAGGGTTCCTTTCTCTGGGAAAGGAGGCAGCCCTGAAACTGCGGATTATAACCAGAGGGAAAGCACTTCGCCTACTGACCTCTTTCCAGCAGTGATTCATGAGTTGGTAGATGTGAGCGGAGGCAAGTCGAGGCTTATACAACCGAAATCCGGTACTGATGTCTTCTACCACCTCCGAGTTGCTTCGGTTTTCGTATGGGATTTTGCCCTCGCTGAAGACCTCCCACATCAGCACACCTACAAGCAAAGACCGACACAAGACAGCTAACAGCAGTGTTCCGGGGGTCCCAAGGGTCCCAAGCCAAGCTACCTGTAGAGACCACAGGCTCTTTCGCCATAGAATTAAAGTTCCTTCTCCGGATCGACAGAAGCATTGTATCAAGCCCAGTGGAGGCTTACTAGGCCTGTTCTACTTTTCAATTTTTTTCTGTTGTTTTCTTTTTCTTTTTCTGTTTTGGTTGGTAAAATTTTTAAAGAACTAAAAGTTTTCCAACCTTCCTAGTAGCAAAGCATTTTCAAGCTCAGCCCTTACATTTAATTAAAATGCCACAACTAAAAGGTTCAAAGCTTTTGCCTTAAGGGCAAGGCTTGGATTTGGATTGGCTTTTGGCCCAAGTACGGCCTGTGGAAATGAGGGCTCAGGATTGTCAATTTTTCTGATCTTTTTTAAAAAACAAGCCAAATATTGACAGTTAAAAACGGGAACTCAATTTGATTTTTAAAATTACACCAAAACAAAACTGAAAATAACTGAAACTTTTTGAGTATTGATATGTCATCACAGAAGTGGAAAATTCCACAGTGTGACTTTGTTTATGCACAAAACTATTAACAAACAGTGTATAAAATTATATTCAGACTGTGTTTAAGGGGTTTATGAAACAAATGAGTTTGTGTTTAGATTTGGTCTTATCTTCAAAATATCTCGTTATGAGTGCAAATATTCAAAATCTGGAATCTAAACACTTGTTTGGTTGCAAGCATTTCAGGTAAAGAAATTTGACCTGTATTTCATACTTTGTAGATCTAGCAAAATACATCTTTGGGTTCCCCATTCTTTACCTCTGATTTAATCCCTTGTGGTCTTCTATCCTCAGGAGAAGGCCACAGCTAGTCTTATTGAGATCATGTGTTTATATTTATAGTTAAGTAGAGCACAAGAGCTAACTCAGGGTTTTCCAAGTTGTAATCCTCTAAAGCATCTGCATAAAAATCATCTCAGGGGCCGGGGATTTGGCTCAGTGGCATCGCACCTGCCTTGCAAGCACAAGGTCCTGAGTTCGATCCCTGGTACCAAAAAAAAAAAAGCAAAAACAAGATGAATACTCTTTCAAAACAAAAGAAACACAAGAGCAAGAGGGCCAGTGATTTAGCTCAGTGGTGCAGCCCCTTGCCTTGCAGTGCAAGGATCCAAGTTCAACCCCCAATACAAAAAAGAAAAAAAAAAAGAATCATCTCAGAAATGTGTTCAAATGGCAGATTCCTGCGTCCCAGCCCAGGCTCCCTGGGTCAGAATTCTGGGGGCTTTTCGGAGGTGCTTGAGGAGCTGAAATTCAAAGCCTGACTATGAAGACCACTGTTTAGCACTGCAAGGTGCCAGGATTTCCAGTGAGATTCACTTTGAAAGTAGAGTGCTGCTAGAACATGGCTTGAAAACAACTGCTTTAATACAAAACCTTCTCATGCACAGATGGGGAAACTGAGCGAAGCTCAAAGGAGTTCCTCGGCTTGCTCAAATATCAGAGTTAATTCGGACCCCAGTAGGCTGCGGCGGGCAGGAAGCTCTCCACCCTCCCAGGTCCCCGGCCCTCACGCTTGCCACCTTGGTTTCCCCGAACTTTTCTTCACTGAACCATTTCTACTCTGCACCCAGCCATCTACCTCATTTCTGGATGGGTTTCAAACGACACAGCTTAGCAGGGATGGATTTGTGCCCAACCTTCCAATTAAAAAGTGTAGCTGAAAATTCCCAGGCTGACCCCCTGTGGCTGAATCAGCCCCGTTCAGAGTCAGAAGGCGCAGGTGCCAGTGTGGCCGCTGCTCCAGGCATCTCTCTGTGGGGTGCTGGCTTGGTGGGTGTGACCCGCTTTCATCACCTATGGGGAGAGGATCATGTATCAACCCTAGCTCCCCTAGCCATTTGCACCGGGAGAGGAGAGTCACCGCGAATGAGGTCAACACACTTTCATTCCAGGTCATTCCATGGCTTAAACCTGGCTTCACAAAGGAGCAGCTAAATGTGGTAAACAGGGACTGTTTTAAGCAACAGACCAGAAAGATTTATAATTAACAAACCTCTTAGCTCCTGGAAATGGACATTCTAAAATGCTAAAGGTTGTTAAATTAGTCCTTTTCCTAAGCTTCCTGCTGGTTCCTCTCCTAGCATACCTTTATAAACCCTTCATATAGAAGGTCAAGCTCAGTGTACAGCTTCTGCCACACTGTGATCCTTCTTATAATCCAAAGAAAAGAGGCTATCTGGTGTATTTCCATGCCAACTTTGTGTTAGGGTTTATATAAAAAGTACTCCCAGGGCCTCACGTGCTCACAGGCAGGGCTTTTGGAAGAAGCTGGACATGGGGTGATGCATCAGACTTGGTGTTAGGAGGTGGGGTCACTAGAGGTCACCTGGAAGGATCTCTCTCCCTCCCCGGCTTGTCCCTCCTCTGTCCTTAATGAAGTAAGCAGATTTCCCATGCTATGTCCTTCTGTCCAGCCAGTTCTGTCCTGGAGCTGGCTGACCGTGGACTGTCACCATGAGCCCAAATCAACTGCTCCTCCTTTAAGTTCCAGGGATCCGGTACTGGGTCTCGGTGTCAAGAAAGTGACTCAGATGTCTTGAGTGTGCACAAACTGTGACTTAGGCAACAAGACAAATCCAGCGAGAACTTCGAGTACTTCCGGTCACATGAACACCATTCATTCCTTCCTTCGGCAATGATCATTTGTACTTTTCAGAAATCGTCATTCCTTGCTATGGCTGCCAACTTCGCCGCCTTCTGTTCTCCCACCAAGTCAGTGCGCCCTGCTCTTTGCACAAACCATGCTTTTGTGCTTGCTGACTGAGGGCACTGCTCCCTGGCTCTCTGAATGGTGACAGTGCCCTCTCGTTACTCATTATTCAGCTCATGAGTTACCTCCTCAGAAAGGACCACGTATAGCAGACTCTTCTTCCATGCAGCTACTCTCTACCCCAGGACTGTCTTACTTTGTTTGTGGCACTTCTAACCCCTGCTTGACTATATCATGTGTCTGTTAGCTTATTTGTGCAATTGTTATCAGCCCCCCCCATTTAACTCCAGGAGGACAAAGGTCTTCTGTGTCCTATACCTTTGCAGTCTCAGCACTTGGATTAAGCCCTGGCAATAGGAGATGTTCAATAGATTGCTGTTGAGTGAATAAAAGTTGTTGAGGGTTAAACATGGAAACGTAATGATGGACAAAAAACTCCCTGCCTTGCAAGGGTTAATGTTCTAATCTCTGAAACACTACAGTTTTTGACCTCATAGTTGCTGCCACTGACAGTCAGAGGCCTCCACAGGGACAGAAGACAAATTCCTGGGCCCTTAAGCTGTTACCCAGTGAAAGCATGATTTGTGTGTATGCATGCTTTTCTTTCTGAGGCATACAGGGACTTTTAAACTTTTTTCTACACAGCATGACTCACTTGGCCCTAGGGATGTTTAGCAGGTAACTAAAAATACAACAAAGCTGACCTTCGTTTTGTAACATTAAATCCTTGCCAGCCCTGCATGTAGGCGGGTCAGTCGTTTAGAGAATGTGTGTCTCAAAGTTGAGGAGACAGCATTTATTAGACCTAATTTACCTGTCTCATCATTCACCCAGGCTGAGGATGCTGGGATAAGAGAATTACAGGGACATTCACTTCCACCCAGAAATCTTCACTGCCCTCATCCTAGTGTCACCTTGGATTCTGGCAGGGCCTCACATGACTGAGACTGCCTGCAGCAGAGCAGGAGGAATGGATGAGTCATGAGGATTCTTTCAGAGCTATGAAACCAGGACAGACAGAGGTGATGACCAACAGGACCCCCGCCCGCCACCGCACCGCAGAAAACTGGCCTGTGGTCATTCAGGACTGTGCCAGTCTGATGCACCTCTCGAGACCAGAGCCCCCTTCAGCTTCACAAAGTGAAGGCTTTTCCTATCTTTCCCTACTTTTCTTTGTTAGGGGACAGGTTTGATCTTTGTTAGAGCGGTGTTACCCTTTGTTTTCTCTTTTCAGTTTGAAACTTTTTTTTGGAAATTTGTGCTTGGGTTTAATTTCTTTATCACTGAGCAATGATCCATGCTAGCTGCTAACTCTACCAGAATCCTATTCCCACTTTGGTTCTCATTTTCCCCCCAATATAAAATCTCTAGGAACAGACATGATCATAAGGGCCCCTGCATACATTTTGGGGCTGTGTTCACACAGGCCCTGCGTGGGACGCCCTCCCCCTACAGAGACCAGGTCCCCGCGTGACGAAGGAGCAGGCAGCCGACAGTCCCAGGATGTTACCCACCGAATGACCACACATCCGACTTGCTGCTGTACCGGCTGAAAGAGAACACTTCTGGGGATGCCCACTTCACGGGGAACTTGGTGCCTGTGGAACTAGTGTACTGGTCATCAAGGACAAATCTGGGGACAGTGGAGAAAGCGAAGGTCAGAATGTCCAGGGGCCTGTGTCCCATCCCTGAGACCTCACACACCATGTTCCCGTGTTACCTTGTCATCCCAAAGTCGGACACCTTGATGACTTGGTTTTCTCCCACCAAGCAATTCCGGGCAGCCTGGAGAGGAGACAGCAGAGAAAGGCAGACTGTTGATACAGTCAGTCATGAAGGGGTCTCCCTTCCTCAGTGCCTTTGCTTCGCTGTGTGCTGTTGTACAAAGGCACCAACAGGCTTTACAAAAACTAAGGTTCCCTGGCGCGCGCTAAAAGTAAGTGCAAAGCAGAATGCGACTGTGTAGGATTCTTTATCAGGATGTGTAGGTTTATCTTAATTCCTGGATCCTAACTAGGGGACAGATACAGGTGTTGTCCAATCAATAACATGCTTGAACATAACCTGATATGACAGAAATGCTGACACTATGGGCAACAGGAAAAAATTGATTCCCAATTTAGATTAATATAAACTATTTTGAGATGGTTCAACCGCTTAGAATTACTCCTCACAGGGGAACCTGGCCCCTAATTAGCAACAGAGGTTGTGCTAGAAGGGCCTTTGGAGATGAAAGACTCCAGTGGGTGTCACATGTGAAAGAGCCTGCAAGTCACACGGGGGTGACACGAACAGTCCTGAGACCCGAACACCAGAGACTCTGGTAGATCTTTGCACACCCTAAGAAAAAATGAGCTTGGCCATTTCCTTCTTTTATCAGGAAGAAACCGAAGCTCAGCAAGGCTAAGAAGGAGTAGGTGTTAGATCCATTGTGGAAGAATGCAATCCAAGACTCACAAAGTGTAAGTCAGACGCAGGGCTGGGTTGAGAGCACAGATCTGAGTGGCCATGGAACATTTTCCTATCAGGACCTTCTGAAGGTGGGGGTGTGGAGGAAGACGCTAAGAAAGGAAGAGAGGCAGTGTGTCTTTGCTAATGCATTCTCAGTCCTGGTAGCTCTGCATTTAGTGGGATGTGCCCCTTCTTCCTTCACCTTGTAGGCCACATGCACATACCAGATCTCTGTGGATGACGCATGCTTTTTCCAGGTAGGCCATGCCCTCACACACGTCCAGGCACATGCCCAGCAGGGTCTCTGCTGCAAAGAGCCCCCGCTGATTGCGTAGGTAATCTGATAGGCAGCCATGTTCCATGAACTCAAACACCAGGCAGATAGGGGCCTGCTCCAGACATACACCAAAGAGCTGGACCAGTTTGGGGTGAGAGAGTTTCCTGGAGAAAAAAGGCAAAGATGAGATGGGCCAAACTCAGTCCTTTAAGAGTGTTGAATACTCTACAGCACTAAATGGCTGAATGTCACTTTGTTCAACTCATGGTTTGGAGAAGAGAGTTCGTCCCCTCACCCAGAGAACAAAGCCATTGGAGTCAAGAACTGAAGGTAGCAGGGAGTCACCTCGTTTGCAAGATAAACAGAGGCAGTGCAGCTGGCATGTCACAGATCAGAGGAGAGATGAGTAGAACATGAAGCTAGGAGACCAGGGTGAGGAGGTTCTCTTTGTTCTCTGTGCAACAGATGCCACTGCTGAGATGTGAGCAGGGAGGGGCACTAGCACGATTTATAAAGAACACAGCAGCAATCACCCTCCCCGGGGGTCTGCAGAGCCCTGTACGGCCACTCACATCATGACTTCAGCCTCCTCGATGAAGTCCTCTTCGGACATAGCCCCCTCCTGAATGGTTTTGATAGCCACCTTGTCCTTGTTGAGCCAGTAGCCAAGGTGAACCAAGCCAAACTGCCCACTACCAATCTCTTGCACGAAAGTGAGCTCTGAGGGGTGGATCACCCATTTTCCTGGAAGAGAGAGAAAGAGTGTTTGGGAGCAAGCAAATAAGTCACAGGGCTACCAGAAAATGACAGAGTCTTCTCTGAAATTTTAGCCTATAGTTAGTGCAACTCAAGGATGGCAAAGGGTGAAAATCCTAAACTTGGAAGTACCATAGGTAATTATCCTTCCCCCCAAACAGTAACATGGAGTATGCATCTAAAATTGTTAGAAATGTGTATGTGGAAGTAACGCAGAAAAGAGAAGGATGACATCAATCAAGATGGAAAAGAAAGTAAATGAAAAGATTATTGCAAGGTCCCAATCATTTGCTGTACCTAACTATAAATTTGTATTGTTATTTTTCACACAGAACAAATTTCAGCTGAGTTTGCCATTCACTCACTTATTCATTCATTCATCTATCCACTGAAGGCATCCACTATACACACAGAACTCTGGTGGGTTTAGGAGAAAAAAATTTTTCTTTTTCTTTTTTTTCCAGTACTGGGGATCGAACTCAGAACCCTGCACTTGCAAGGCAGGCACAGGGCCCCTGAGCTAAATCCCAGGCCCAGGTTTAGCAGGAATAGTGGTTAGTGAGTACAATCTAGCAAGCACAGTGTCTAGAGCACGGTCAGTTCTCCATAAATATCTGCTAAACAAATGAAGGGATGTGAGCTCAGTTTTACCAGGGACATTATAAGTGGCCAGATACTCTGAGATCTTATCTAGCATGGGCACTTGAGGATTCCACAGGGACTCTTATCTTCATAGGGATAATACAGATGCATTATCCTTTTCTGATGCTTGTTCTAATACCAGGAATAGCCTGACTTCTTTCTTTCAGCCAGACAGTCAAGAACAAACTGTATGGAAGTGTGTAGGTGGTTAGGGGAGAAGTGTTTACCTCTGACCACCCGTGTCAAAAATCACCTAAGGCACTTGTTCAAAATGCAGACCACACTCTCAGGGTGTGTGTTTTGCTAAGTGTTTGGCAGTGTGTAGGAATCAACATTTTTAATCAGTGTTCCAAAAGGTGTTGGTGCACACTGAAGTTTGAGAACTGCCATCCTACGATATACAAAAAGGTATGTGGTACTTGTTCAAGGGATGTAAACTCAAATGCCTTTAGGTTCCAGGCAGATAATCCCAAATGAGTGATGCAGTTGTTCCACAGGACAAGAGTATCATAGACAGCTAAGTTAGTTAGAAAGGTAATAGGCAGTCAGACAGGGCTGGGCCTCAAGGAAGTCAGGACAAAGGGTAAAAACACACCACACCTGTGGCTGGGAGACACATCGGCTGGAGGCCAGTCCTCAAGATGACAACAAAAGGACCAGGCCTGCATGCTTCCCCACAGGACAAGGGAGAGCACCTAGTCTGGTGAAGTCTAATAGGCATCAGTTGCCTCAGGGGTGACCAAGACTCCCAGATCCATCACCTCCCTGAGAATTTCTCTGTTCTGTCCATGCACTCCTGCTATGTGACTTGGTTCCCCATTGGGTCACCTTACCTAAGTGACTATACGTCTAACCTTATTGATTGATCGTAGGTGTTACCCACATTGTACCCACAAGGGTGCTGCTCTATGAAACTTTCCTGTAAAGTGGGGTCCCCAGCAACCCGTTTGGGGCCCCTCTTGTCTCTCTCAAGAGCTATATCTTTCCCCTTCAATAAAGATTTTCCTACTCTTACCCTCCGTTGTTCCTATAATTCATTTTTTACCTTTAGAGAACATGAATTCGGCGTATCAAACATCTCACAGATTTCATCTGCTATATCAAGAGGATGTAGAGTTTGCTTCACTGGCGATGCTAAAGGCATTTTAACTCTGTATTCTTCTGCTTTCCTAGAAATCAAACCCACGTTCTCTACTACTGAGCTGCACCCCCAGTCCTCATAAACTTTTAATACTCTGCTATGCAAACATTTCTGGATGCTGCTAGCACATAGCCTTTGCAAAATGCCCAACAAAGTAGATAATAAGACCAGGAATTTACTCAGTGGTTCCACTGCCTGCCTCACAAGCACAAGGTCTTGAGTTTGATCCCCAGTACTGGAAAATAAATAAATAAATAAATACATAAATAAGTTCTAGAAGATAGATAGAAATACAGTGCTGAGGCATCGTTGCCTAATATGGTTCCAAAAGCATTAGTAGAGTGCTTTGTTCAAAGTAGATACTTAATAAGCACTGCACCCACAAACTCTTTGTTAAAACCAAAAGGATATTGATTAGATCTATGTACTCATACATTGATTTTACACACACTGAAAACATTCATCAGTGCTGCCATGCCTATATATACAGTATACCTGTTTTGATGATCACTTAGAAGCCTAGGGAAGAGTCAGGCTCATGGCAAATCCACTTCGCATTTGTCCCTGACCTTCAGAGACATGAGTTTTAGCTCAAATGCCTAACATTTTTTGTCATATTGCTCACCATATCTTAGCCCTGCGGTCACCGGGGCTTTCTGCCTCCAGGAGCAAACTGGATACCGGAGTCGAGTGACCAGGCCTGGGTTGATTGAAAAGCCAAAGGCAGTGGTTAGGGCTTTGCTGTAGCAGCTGTGCAAAGTAAATCACCAGGAAAGAAATCTGAAGAAAAAGATACTTTCATTCTGGAAAACTAATCCCAAAGCCTGATCCCCGAGATTATGCTCTCCTCTGGCAGATTCACATGCACAGGTGGGCAGGTGGTGAACATCATTTCCACGGCACAGTTTGCTCATGGAAGATGGGTGAGATCATCAAGCATTTGACATCCTCCCCTCTTTGCACATTTAGTTATTATTTATGGCCAGCTTCTCTGGAGTGAAGAAATCAACTGGGGCTTTCTCCCTTTCTTTCTAAATTCCCTGCAAGGAACCCCCTTTGGCTTTTCCTTTTAGAACTCACCTCCTCCATTATGCTGGTGATAATTGATGAGGAGAGGGATGGAGTCAAACACATACTTTTCAGCCACATAGTAACGCTTGGGGTTGTCATTTGTTTCTTTGATGTGATAGTGCTTTATACAGGGGTTGTTCTCACTTTAAACAAATGAAATATGGTGATTACTAAGAAAACACTCAGACATAAAACATCTACTCTTGTCAGATTTGTATTATCTTTGCTGTGTAATCTCTCATAAGCATGGCAGATGTACCGTAATCCTGACAGGTTGGTTGCTGGCGCCATCACTGTTGTGTTAAGAAGTACTCTGAGGCTGCACCTGGCCCCAGGCGGCAGCAGGGCAGTGACAGATGGGTTCACAGCCACAGAATGGGGGAAAAATGCTGCATGTTCACCTTCCCTGCCCTGTGGGTTCATGGAATTGTCGCTGTCTGTTGAGGAATCCTTGCTGGGCCCTTCGTGCTCACTTGACTTTGAGCAGAAGAGTTAGCGTGCTGGGCACAGTTGGGGAGAACTGCTCTCATGGTCAGCCCTCGGCTGGTGTTGGGATATCAGGAAGGCTGTCACAGTTCCCCATGCGGGAGGCTGGATGTGATGAATCAGTGTCATTGTGGTCTAGGCTCAACCTGAGTTTTCCTTGTGCGAGTCTGGAATGTTGGGAGGTGCTGGACAGAGGGAGTGTACTCAACTGGTTTCCAGTAAAAGCCCTGTACGATGAGTCTCCAGTGAGTCCCCTAGTGGACAACGCTTCATGTGTGTCGCTAAATTAAGCATGTCCTGTGTGACTCCACTGCGAAAGATATCTTAGAAGCTGCATTTGGTTTCCTATGGATTTTGTCTGTGAGCCTCTACCTTTTGCTGATTTTCCTTTGTATCTCCTCGCTGCAATAATCTTAATGAATGTTATTCTGTGTGTGAAGGGTCGTCCTCATGAATTCCTAGAACTGCTGGTGATTTGGTGGACCCTCATCACAGAACTTAGCTCGCATTCTGTCCCCATCAGGTATTAGGGGTTTCAGGTCACTCTCTTCGCTGTCCCTGGCTATGACACAGCCTCGTCCCCTCTGTGATGCTCACTGTGTCCTTTGCCTTCCTGGAACAGTGGCCTTGCTCCTTACCACCTGTCTACACCCTACCCTTCCTCCAGGTCCAACTTATGTCCTCCACCTTCTGATAAACATTCCCTGAGGATACCCTGAAAATCATTTTTTTTTTCCTCTTAATTCTCACTGCATTCTGGTCCTTGCCAAACCGTTTCATTCTTATCAATATTGTAATGAGAAGAGAATTTGAAAGCTAGATGGGCTCTTAGATGCCTCAGAACACTCAGTGGAAGCGGGGGCTGCCTGCAGGTGATGGTCTTACGATCTTCCAGGATGGAGCATGGAGTGGGCATGACCACTCCAGCTGCCCTGACGGGGAAGCACTAGCTCTTTGAGCCTTGGTCTCTTCTGTCTGAGCTGAGAAGGGTAATACCTGCTCCCAGGGGTTCTTAGCGTTAGAAATTGTGAAGTTCCTGGCACAGAGTAAGGAATCAAAAAGGTTTTATTAGTACAGCCAGAACTGGAATTCGTATATTTTCACTTCCAGTTGGGAATAACATTTTTGTTACTTTATATATTGAATGAAATGATATTCTCATCAAAGGTAGGGCTAAGCGTTCTGTTTCGTTAGAGCTCTGCTATTAGACATGCTAATGAGGAAGAGGACCTGGCTGGCATCTAGTCTCTGCTCTTTCTCTTCAGTTCTGTCCTGAATCTCTTTGGCCTTGACCTTCTCAGATCACACCATTTCTGGTGAGCCTCTATTTCTGCACTGATCGACGTTGCTGTGTGTAACCCGCCCTGCCTCCACCTCCCCAGTGTCCCCCTCTGTACTTCGTGGAGTCAGCACCATACCTTACAATGGCCTTGGTGAAAACAGATACGGTGTATGTTCCTGGAGTCCTGGAATCTCGCACCATGAAGGCTCCCTCTTTGCCCTTGGTTGGAAAGAGAGGAAGGTTAATGATCTCAGAAAAGCAGGCCCATGTACACAACTGTACTTTTTCTTATGGAAGGAGGAAGTCCTGCTTGGCATAGAGTAGATTTTCAGGAAGAGGGGTTACCATTTCACTCATTCATTCCACAGCAGTTTCTTGAGATTCTACATGGGTCAAGTTCCAGGGCTGATCCTAGCCATGAATGAAAACAGACGGATACAAGCCCTATCCTCCTTGAGATCATCATGTACTAAAAAATGCAGGTATTTCACCAAATGCTGCAACCTGGACATTATTGTCCTCCATTTCCAAGAAGTACACAGAGTGCCAGAGAGCTTAAGTGGGTTTTCTACCCACCAACATGTGTAAGCAGTAGAGTTGGGATTTGAACTTTGGCATGTGACAAAGCCCATGACAATGCTGCTACTGCTCCAAGATGCCTCCATTCAACAGGTGTTGAAAACAACTTCTCCATTCCCTACATGGGCAGGAAACTTCCCATCCTGGAAGCATCATCAATTCCTGAATGACAATATATTTCTCCGGCCCTTTCCAGAGTATTGACTTTGCTGTAGGTCAGGAGGAAACACATTAAGCTCCTGGCTTCATAATGAAAGTGGGAGAAGGGAGTGCCCCAAGAATGTACCTCTTGTTGCCTTGAACATTTTGCCAGCTCTGGTGAAATATGCACAAGCAAATGGATGTGCCAACTTATTTATTCCCCGTAGGAATTTTAAAATCGGAACTCTGTTTTAAGTAAGTCCTGCATAATTCTCTGTTGCTACCTAGCTCTAAGTGTGCCCTGGTAACATTTGTAAAGCCTATTATTTATTTAATGTAGACAACATGAGAGCCCTGAGTGAAGGTCAGAACCAGACAGGAGTCTCATGTGGCAGGTACACAGAATACATGGAAGAAACTAGATAGCATGTAGAACAACACAAACTCATTCACCCTCTGGTCCCAAAAGTGGGCGTGCGCACACACACACACACACACACACACACACACAAATACATGTAGAAAGTCATGCTTGCTTCCTATAGCTCGGCTATAGCCCTGCAGGGGATGGGAGTGGGAGACAATTGCTCTTTCATCACTGTATGTCCTTGCCAAATCTATAATCAAACACGTAAACTTTGGGTTTGTGTAATAAACAGACTCTTGAAATCCCTAAGTGCTCCAGTGTCTCTTGGAAATTTCAGGAATCTATTTTAGAGCTGAAAGTTCAGATTTGATTTCTGCTTTTCATTTGCAGCCTTCATTTTCCAGGCAGAGTTTGGGCTGCCCTCTCTTACTACTGCGTGAAAGCAGAGGAAGAATCCCTCAAAATGAGAAAGTTACTGCATTCCTTTTTCTGAGATGACCTGAAATAGTCCTTTCACTTTGTCTTTTGCACACATCAAGTATATTTTAAGTATTTTGTATATCATGTGTTATTAAATTCAGGAGGCTGAGTTATAAATCTTCAGAAAACGCTAATATGTCTTTTGCACTGCTGACCTCCTTGTGGGTCTCTTGCCCACAAGGAGCTGTGTGAGAAATCCTGGGTGTAGTAAAGAAAAGGAAATCCAACCAGATTCTTATTTTTCCTGTTTCAGATATAAATGCTGTTTATTTAGCAATATATTAAAAACCTTTTTGGGCCGGGGATTTAGCTCAGCGGTTCGGTGGCCTGAGTTCAATCCCTGGTACCAAAAAAAAAAACCAAACCCAAAAAACAAAACAAAACAAAAAAAAAAAACCTTTTTGATTTTGTCTTATATATCATTCTTTTAAATATTGATTTTTCAAAAATTAGATTTTTTTCTGCCTTTGGGGTCAGCAGTTTATCCAATTTCTGATGTAAAAGTGATCTCTGGGACATCCAAAGCCCCGGGTTAGGTTCTCTTGTTTTTAAGAGTAGTTTTTCAACCACAAGTTACATACAGTAAATTTTCCCATTTTACGTGTATATGTCAATGATATTTAGTAAATTTACAGAGTTGTACGACCATCACAATAGTCTAATTGTAGAACACTTGCATCTCCCCCAAAAGAAATCCCTATCCCATTTGTACCCCTGCCACACTAATGTGCAGTCTCTGATTCTGTATGGCTGCTCATTCTCCATATTTCATATAAATACAATTACAGAATATGTGGTCTCTTGTGATGGGCTTTGTTCACTTAGCTTATTGTTTCCAGGGTTCATCTAAGTGGTAGCAGGTATCAGTACTTCGCTCCTTCTTATGGCTGAATAACGTTCCCTTGTCTGGATCTACTACGTGTGTTTATTCCTTGGTCAGTTGCTAGGCATTAAGTTGTCTTCGAAGAGCATGTTACAGGTGTTATAGGTTGCATTTGGTGATAGCACCAGGAGACTCTGGTTTGGTCTGAAGCAGCCAAGGGCTCTGATGAAAGTGTATCATATGCTTTACTGTATGTGCTTTACTGCCCACTTCCTTCAAGGAACTCAGAGATAGTCACAACCACCAAGATATTGGCACCTCAGAGGTCAGTACTCCTATCACTGCTATGCAAGGGGGTACTGACTTGTGCATCGCAGCCACTGAAGACCATCACTCTCTTGGAACATACCCAAGGTCTCACTTTACTGTTTGCTACTTTATCCAGAAAAATAAAGAGGCAACAAGAGCAAAAAGTAACCCAAAGGAGGTGATGTATCACCCTGGTGGCATGGAAAAATAGAAAGTAATTCATATATTTCGTTATTAACACTGACTTCATTAATTGGTGTGTGTGTGTGTGTGTGTGTGTGTGTGTGTGTGTGTTTAAAGAAGCATCCCTGCTTTAGACTAGACAGTGCCAATTATCTGCTTTCCAAACTTATTCCCCACTTATCTGCCCTTAATACAAAGGACATGGACTAGATACTCTCTAAGGAGAATTTTAACTTTAACATTGTGAGTTCCAGCTGTTTTCTGATAAAATGTATGAGCACTGAGCCGGTGTGGTGGCGTACACCTATAATCCCAGCATTTGGGAGGCTGAGGCAGGAGGATTGTCACAAGTTCAAGGCCAGCATGGGTTACATAGTGATTTCAAAGCCAGCCTGAACTATAAAGGGGACCCTGCCTCAAAAAACTGAAAAAAAAAAGTGTGAGTGAGCATCTATTTCCTCCTCTGTAAAATGACTTTTATAAGGCTGCTGGGAAAATTAAGCAGAGTGCATAGAATAGTTCCTGGAATATAATCCCAGACAAGGGCTGTTAGGGTTGTTCTTAGCCATTATTATTGCATGCTATAATGTATCATCCATTGGAAGCATGAGTTCCATTTTCTGTCTTCATCGAGGCATGTGGCTGTGTTAGGAATACATTTCTTTCTGTCTGTACAACTCGAACATGGTCTTATGGAAAATATTCACCACAAAGGGCAAGTTGTGAGAAGATGGACCGATGGCTGTGGCCTTGTCACATCATGAAACAAGCAGTGTGCTTCCGAGGATCTCTGACGTACAGTCAGCTTTCATTCTGAGGTGGATCCTTTCTCATCTTGAAACAGACTACTATTTCTGATGAAATAGTGTCAGTGCATTCGGGTGACAGCTTAGAATCTCAGAAGTTTGATAAACCCATGCTTTAGATAAGGCTCCTGCCTGAAGTTCGGGTCAGTCGGTGTGTGAGATGCTGAAAGTATACCAAGTGATTTACTGAGTACCTACTCATTAGGAGCTACATCTCTGCCTGGATGGGATTAAGTCAGGAGAGAAAATCAGAAGAGCCACGGCAGAGTAAGAACAGAGCCAGGGGAGAAGAAATAACATTGCACCAAGAGGTTCTAAGGTGAGGGAAACAATACTTCAAGCTGAGGGACTGGGAAGGCTTCTTGGAGGACGAAACACTGAAGAATTGACAGGACACAAGTCCAGAAGGAGAAAAGATGCCCGCAAACACTACTGAGGTGGAGCCAGAACAGGGACCACAACCCAGGACAACCTCACTTTACCATGCTTTCTGTCTTTTCATGACTCTCTCCCTAACCCTGATATCTCTGGGTAAGGTCAGCCCTACTGCTCATTCTGCAGAGAAGAAACTGCCAATGAAAAATAAGGGAAAGCAAGTGGTATGATACTTCCTTTGGACCCAGCGTCCAAGCAAAATCTGCTTCCTGACCTAGCAGAAAATTGGACCTACTAGAGGAGGCTCCATAGATCCCTGCCACTGTGAGGCTAATATGACGGCCTAGGGCCCTCCTCAGGTTTCTTCTCTAGCACTTGCTGGTCCAGAGGGCCTCAGGAATATTCGTCACCAGACATGAAAACTTGTTAATCTAACATGCCAAACCACTGCACTGGCATAAACCACAGTATGGCTGAAAAAAACAGCCATTTATTTGAAGTCAAAAGACAGGGTAAGGAGACTTACAGTGTCCAAGAGAAGTTTTTCAGCTTTGTCTCTACTGATGCTCTTATTGTACCACCTGGAAGCAGGAAAAAGTCACGTGTCAATGGTATTTTTTTAAAATTTCATTTTAAAAATAAAATAATGCCAGAAAAATCACCTATTCACTTTCTGTTTCTATCAGCATTTTCTAACTCAAAAGCAAAGGCATGGTTCATTTCTAGGTAGTAAAATGTTTACTTGAGGAGGAACAAAATAAAACAGATTTGGCAAAATATTGATAACTGTTGCAGCTGGGTTTGGGGACATTGATCATATTATTTTCTGTTTTGTGCAAGTTGGAGATTTTCCATAATGTAGTCTTACCAAACATTTAGTTTCTTCTCTATTTCATAAGTCAGTGGGTGGTTATAAGTAGGAAAATATTAGCACAGCTATAAAAAGTGAATACCAGTTTGAAAGTTCAGCAAATATCCTTATAAAACAACTGTCGTTTTTTCCTCTTTAAGGCTTGTCTTCTAGATCTTTTGCAAAGTAACTGCATTGTTTTAATAATTTTGTTAGCTGATGAAAATGGCTTAAAAGTTCACCTTGTACTTTCCCTGCCCCAATCTTAAAACCCCCAAGCTATTTCTCCAAGAAGTTCTGGTTGTTTTCAGTGGGGAGTATTATTTAGGATCCAAGATCTGAGCAGTATGTGTAAGCATTGTGAGTAAGGTATCGCTGCTTCTGGACCGCAGTGGACTCTGAGCTAGGATGTGGATGTAGATGGTAGGTACTTGGGCCGCTACAATTGCATTACACTGAACATTCAGTAGTTCCGTTAAGATCATACCTGTGTGAACCATCCTCCTAAATGACAGCTTACAAATAGTTTCCACAGTCTAAACAGACATTTAATATCTACTTGTTTGTATGTTGCCCTATCAGAGGTGTCACAGTAAACGAAGTGTTAAGTCAGTTTATATCTGAGCCAGTGTTCATAGCCTCCCCGCACCCAGTATTTCTGGAGTTCCTGATAGAATCTTTTCTTTTTACTACAGTCTTCTCAGGTTCCTGAGAATCATTCCTTTGATAAAAAGGGAAGGTAGTATATACCAATCTCCTCTCTTTCTTTTATTGTTTAGTGGGTCAGATAATAAAAGAGAAGAAAGCATATCAAGGAAATAAACCATCTGGTGTTTTCATAGTCAACCATAACTTACTTAATCTAGGGAGGATTCCTTAGTCTATATCCCCCCCGCCAAAAAAAACCCAAAACAAAACAACAGCAAAAAAAAAAAAAAAGTATCTTACTCATAGGTTTCCAAGTTATTTGGAGATTTTTCTACCAGATAACTGCTTGGAACATATCCTTCATGCCTGTTACAAAAGAAATAAGGAAATGAATGTTTAGACTAATATAGAACTAATTTGTACATCTTCATTTTATAGGTCTACTCCATCAAAAGTCAATTCCAGATGAAGAAGTTTTATATTATGTAGTATTTGTGGTAAGATATATTTTACAGTTTTAGGGCAAGAGAATTGGTAAAAGTAACAAAAGCTTAACTTTTAAAAGCAATAGATTTCACTATTAAAATATAATAAATAACAAGTGTCCATTTTACTTTAAAAAGCTCTGTTTGGTGACTCTCCTTATTGTGAAATTCCCTGTACTGGAAAAAACATTAATTTTTAGATTCTATTTTTTAAAGGAACCATCTTTTCTGTGTGAGAATCAGTATTTTTCTACTTTAGGGCCATCATCTTATAGAATTAAAGTAATTAAAGAAGTAATTTTCCAACTACAGATCCTAAAAGATGATCCCATTTGTATTATAAGCTTTTGAATTCAAAACTCACTAACTGAGCTCCTTCAGCTATATAAACAAAAGAAAAAAAAAGAGAATAAAATAAGATTGCATGGGGGTGGGAAGGCAATTGTGAGGAGGAATTATCTGTGCACAAAAAAAGCATAAAAATTAAGAGCATCAACATTTTTACATTTATGAATAGCTTTGCAGTTTTCCAAGCCCTTTCATTTTCATTACTTATTTAATACAAGAAAGAGAGCAGAGTCCCTTCCATTTTCTGGGTATATGACTCTTACCTATAAACCAAAGTTAAACTAAACTATTTTCATGACAAGCATGTAGAATCTATCATGGTACAATTTCTTGAAGGATTGAACGTATAGATTCAGAATCATCCTAAACATAGTAATCCAGGCTAATTGAAGGGAATCAGCTTGAGAAATTTACCAATCCTTTTCTGCTTTTAGGTTTTTTTTTTTAAATTTCCCTTGGTTTCATTTTTTTTTTTGCTACACCATATGCATACAATTATATTAATAGAACAAACTATTTTGCTGTTGAATGCAATAAACTTGTTATAATATGCCAACCTAAATTGGGTATTTCCAGAAATGATAATCCTTATCACTTGTGTGTGGATATGTAGAATTTACAAAGCCTTTTCATTTCCATCCTTTCTCTGATAGTTTTTCCACCCTGTGAGGCAGAAAAAGCTGATATCATCTGCATTTTACAGATAAGGAAAGGGATTCCCAGAAGGTAAGTGACTTTACCACAGTCACATATGAGCAGAGTCTGATACTAAAGTCCAAATCGTCTTTCTCCCCGTGCACATGCTTTCCCACACTACTATAAAGCAGAAGGGGAAGTTCCTGGAACACAGCCTGGCCTCTAGGGGCTCCTCTTTCATTCCCTTTGAAGTGCAGATGGAGCTTGTCCAGGCGCCACCGAACACAGGGTGAACTGTCATTGGGGGAAAGACGACCTAGAAGAGTTCCTGGCACAGTAAGGGCCCTAAATGTCAGGTGGCTGAACTGATGCATTTCTGAGTAAGTCCTTGGTATTGGTGGACCAGGGAGTCTTGAATCTTGCTTGCCCCCACTAGGCAGTTGGAAAGGGAAGTTCCAGAGGAGGGCCTTTGATGTCTGCTCTTAGCTAGAAAGCTACTTGCCTTTCAATTTACCGTTCTCCATCTAATCACATTTTACTGACCTCGCCTCTCCTGGCCCTGCTTCTTTGGTGGGACTCGTGAGGATGCTTAAAGAGAAGATAGCTCAAGATTGTAAATTTTAGTGGATTTTAAAAATCAAGCCTTAACCTTAAGAATATTTCTGTGTTTCTTTTTTTCCAACTTATCAGATTGGTCTTTCTTTCCCTCTCCCCCTCCCTCCCCTAAGAGTTAGCTTGTCTATAACCCTACTGGGGGAAGTGCAAATTTGGCAAGCTTCTCGGGGAAATTATTACCAAAATTAAACTATTACATTCTCTGACTCAATAATTCAGAATGTTTTATAATGAATTCAAAAGATTGCCCGCTTCCATCACCAATGCAAGCTCTACATTATATCCTTGTTTGAAATAACAAGAAAAATCCAACTAACTTAAACACTAAATATCCCATCAAAAAATCTTAAAATATTTGTAACTAAACCATACATTCTAACACTATGCAATCATGTTAAAAAGAGGTAGATATGTGTGTTGCTGAGAAAAGATGTCTGAGATATCATTTGAGGTAAGAAAGGCAAAGGACAGAATAAATCATCTCAATATAAAATATAAAAAGGACATTTGTATCAATGTAAATTTGTAGTCTAGGACACACACGAAACTACAAATAGGCTTGAGGTAGGGAGCACATGGAGAGTAGCTTATTTTTCAGATATTCTCAGCTACAATCTTTCTTTCTTCTTTCCTTCCTTCCCTTTTTTTAGTGCTGAGAATCCAGCTGAGGACCTTGTGCATGCTAGGCAAACATTTTGCCACTGAGCTATATTCCTAGCCTCGATTTTTTTTTTCATTATTTTTTCAAATAAAATACATAGGCAAAGCTAGAATTTTTTTCTTTTTTCATGTTTTAATTAATAATTGTGTGCACTAAAATATCAAAACTTTAACATTAATATAAAAGAATGTATTATAATTATTTACAGCATGAATATATACAAATGTTTGCAAATATTTGCAAAATACTGGAGATAACCCAAGTGCCTTCCAAGGAAATTTGCTAAATTAGAGTACATTTATGTGCTGAATTCTGTGCAATCATTGAACTCATATTCTGTAAATCATTCCAGCACATGGCCAAATACCTCTGCTATTACAAGGAAAAAAGCCTCATAAAACAGTATAAATATTATGCGTTAAAGCTAGGGACTAGGATCTATATCTGAGAACATACTGAATGCTAATAACAGCAATTGTGTATTTCACATTAAAGAAGCACTTATAAGATTTTTTTTCACTCAAAAATCCCATACCTGGCAATGAGTATTTGTGCAACCTTGTTTTCTCCAGAAGTCACCTGGGTGGCTATTTCGATGACTGTACTCATGATTAAATCTTTAGTATGTTCTGATGCTCCCTAATTTAATCACCAATCTGTGCCATCTCTACATACCTTTTCTTTCAACCAAAAATAAGCACTTCATAATGGGGTGTACCTCAGCTGCATTTTAACACTCAAGAACAGCGGTGGGCAGAACATGTTCCAAGCTCTCAAACTGCAGATGTCGGTGGAAAAACCCAGGGGACTTTTTGATGAGATCAGGGCTGGGAGTACTGAAGATGGGTACAGAGAACAAACAAACAGAGCAAGTGTTTGCCTCCAGGCCACTTATGAGAAGAGGAAAGAATCCTCCCACTGCCCCCCAACCCTGTTTTCCTTTCTACTCAGTGCTGTGGGCCTGTGGGCACACTGAGGAAGGTGGGTCCGATCACTGCAGCAGAGTCTGATTTCATGGCACCTCAAAGGCTGCGTCAGTAACCACAAAGATGCCTTACCCGTTCCTGTCTTGAACTCTCCACCAGTGAATCTCAGAACTGTCCAGCAGGAGGTACTCTTCATTGCGCTGCAGAGCCAACTCCTGAGGATCATTAGTTTGGTAGTCATACAAGGCAATGACCAGGGTCTCTTCAGGATCCTGAAGTGATCGCTGGGGAAGGGATCACAAAACAAGGCAAAGACATAAAAAAAAAAGGTGAAGTGCAAAGCAAGGCCAGCAAACTCCTAAGCTGTAACTTACTCTGGATCTATGCCAGGTCAATACAATGGCTCCTTCCATCCACAGAGGCATTTGTGGAGATAGTCTGCTTTCCTCTGTTGACCTTTTGCAGAAGCTGGAATGATGCTGCTGAGCAGGATGCAAAGGCATCAGTATCCAATTCTATCTATGAGGTAGATCTCAACCATAGTGAATGCCAAGCAGCCAATTTGCTGCTGGTTTCTCTGCACCATGCCCTGTTCTGCAGCCTCTTGGAAAGAGGTGTAGTCAACACCAAGTCACTCAGCCCATGATTGGCTGATGTGATTTGTGGGTTTGTCCACATCTACAGACTCAGAGGCTATTGGGCTGAAATTTCTGAGAGATCATTTAATTTTCTCTTTCATTTAGGATGGGGAAACAGGCTCAGATGGGGAAACAGATGTGTCCAATTTAGGGAAATCGGTCTTAATGCTTCCTCCATTACTCATACACAAGTTCCCTTCTTTCTCTCGTACCTACTCCGGCCTCCATTTCTGTCTTGCAGTACCATTCTTAGGATGAAAAATTGGGAATGTGAAGAGGAGATCAGAAATCACTCAACAGAGTTCAGGATGAACACAACTTATAACACGCTGGCATATTCAGGGACAGAGTAAATATGGAGAAAGACTGAGCTACTGGCTAGGAAGTGACAGTGTCACAAGTTGTCTAAGTACAACGAAGTATTTGTTGGCATAAAAACACCGAAGTTAAAGGGTGTGGAAGTTTAATTTTACTGATTTAAAACAGCCCCAGATTGGAATCTGAAGCTCAGGTACATTTGGAACTAATGAGGTGGAGGTTTATCGATTTCTACAGACAAGCATGGATACACTGGAGGCTTTTGCTTAGGAACTAATGGAAGGAGGAATAGTGCTCAAGGGCACCTGGAGAAGATGCAGGAGAAAAATGCCCTGACACTACTAGAGGTCCTGCTCCTTGCTTAATCCCTAGGAAGAGAAAAATCAGAGCAAAATTCTCAAGTTATGGGATACTTTCCCACAGGGACATCTAAGGAAGTATTTGGGCTGTTACAAGTTTGATGTGGGGTATAGGTATCTGGTGGGCAAGAGCCACTGCAGAATCCTCTGCAGTGTTCCACACTCTGGGAGACATGCATTTGGTAAGAGTGGGATTTCTTATGCACTGAGGGCAGCTTACACTTAAACCAGAACTTGTCCAAGAATGGCTCACCACCGCAGAAAATCATATCACAGGTGGTGGAAACATTGTGTCTGAGTCACCAATAAAACATTCTTGTATCAGTTGCATTCGAACTGCCAAATTCAATAGAATTCTGCATAGAGGTACAATATTTATACACAGAAATACATGCTATTTAATTTCTCCCCTGTGCTTAATAGTATACTATGGCAGGTATTGGTTCTTTAAAAATATGTGCTTATAAAAGCTGTATTACTTATGACTGCCTTTTCAGGATAACAAAAGGAACTTAACAAAATATTTGTCAGTAAAGGGAGCACTGGGTTTGATAGGGTGGAGAACCACTGGATTAAACTGAGAAAATCAGGGATGGCCTCTGTACAAACAGAAAATCTGTGGGCTTCAGAAGGACTGTGTGAAGCCTACGGTTTCCCGGGCCCTCCATACAGGCCTCAGACTCCATTTCCTGGTCCCTAAGAGCTGTCCTAATCCCAGCGGGGTAGAGCGTGGATGAGCCAAGGAGTCTCACAGAAACACCAGGGCACATGAGCAGGGAAAGGGCACTCACAGGGAGCCTGGGATGGACAAAGCAGACACTTCCTGAACGGCTTCTGGGAAGCTCTTTTGGTTGACTTAGAGGAACTTGATGAGGGCCAAGAGGGGCTGGAATTTGGACTTCACTGTGGAGCTGAGTTCTTTTGCACCACAAGTGAGAGAGACCTGGGGTTGTCAGCTTTTCGCACCGTGGATATTCTACATCTTGACCGAAATATAGCCTCTGTCCCCCTGTGGAGGACTGACTGCCTCTCATACATTCTCACATGGAACAAGAGGCTTACAAGCATGGCTTTAAAACATTGTTTCTTGAGCAGCAACTGCTGCTGATGCTGCCTCCTGCCTACCCTGCCATGGGCTGTTCTCCTCTGCCAGGCCCCTCTGCCATGCTGCCGTGGCTTGCAGCCAGCAGATTATGAACTGAAACCTCTACAAACTGTGAGCTAAAATGAACCTTTCCTCCTTAAAACAAAAACATTGTTTCTCTGTATGCTAACTTGAGAAGTCACGACCGTTCAAGTCATAGAAGGTGAAGAGAAAAGTGACCTCAAGGGCTCAGGATCCGAGAAATCCTGCAATGGCTTTAGACTTGTGCTTGAAGTTAGAGTCATGATCACATAATCATTGTGGAAAGATGTTCAAAACGGTGCGAATGCTGCTCCTCCAAGAGAGCCATATGGTGGAGTACAAGGAGCAATGGACATCTCCCTCACCAGTACTGAGTGGAAGCCGGAGCAGGCAGACTTAAGAGGAGAAGTGTGGGTTTAGGTGGGACTGCAAGGGAGCTGCCTCTAGGGAGGGTGGTGAGAGTCCAGGTCTCTGGAAGGTAGGGAAAGAGAGCTTGCTTTCTGCCTTGGTGTAAGTGCTTCTCTTTTAGGTTGTGAGCTAGCGGGCTGATGACAGATCCAAAACCCAGCTGAGCTTGGATGATTTAGAGTTTCACTGATGGGAAAACTGCCAGTTTTGAGATGTCACCATGTGAGCTGCAGGAAAAAAAAAGAGAGAAAGAAAAAGGAAAAAAGAAAAAAAGAGCAGAGTTCATTCTTTAGCAAGAAGCACAGGGAAGCAGAATTAATATGTTCTGGAAGAGAGGGCTATTACTGAAAGTGGGTAGGTATTGGTGCTGATATGACTACAAGGTAAGGGTATATTCCTCTGCACCCCTTCTTCTGCCTTCTTACTGGAATGATCTTCCACATAGTGGGTGCTACACCAACTAAATCTTGTAAGTCAGGACACGACAGACCAGTGGTTCTCAAACTCAGATGTATCAGAATCACCCTGAGATCTATTTAAGTCCACATTATAGGTCCTTCCATGGAGTTTCAGATGCAGCAGGTCAGGTGGCCACTGAGAATCTGCATTTCTAACATGCTCTCAGGTGAGGCTGATTCCCACCATGGTCTGTGGACCATAGTTTGCGAAGCACCTCTGAAGTTAGAGAACCATCGCATCAGAATCTCTGGGTCCTGCTAAGTGGGTGAATGGCCCTGTGAGGCTTCAATTTCAATCCCCAGTACCATAGATATGAGAGAGAGACAGAGAGAGAGAGACAGAGAGAGAGAGAGAGAGAGAGAGAGAGAGAATGAAACACGAAACTGTTACCCCATGAAGAGGACAGAAGAGATGCTAAGTCTTAACATAGACAGTAAAAGGGTAGAAGTACTTTGAAATATGTAAAGTATTATCAAATGTGTTTCTTCAAAGCACTCACTCCCATTTCAAGGCACAGTTTGATAGCATGAGGGTGGAGTGAAAACAGGGCAGGGTTCGTTTGTGGCCAAACCCATGGAATGGCCCCAAGGACTGATGCGTGGAGTTTGGCAGGATCACCGCAGTCTGCAGCACGCACCCAGGGTTTGAGAGACACAGGCAGATGCCAGTCAGACCGGCAGTGCTACCCCCACATCCTCCACACCTAGAACTTGGGCTCTCACTTACCCTGTTGTCTTCAGGAGTAGGAGGAAGAGGCTTTTTTGAAGCTGAAAGGAGAAAAACAGAAAAATGAAAGTAAGCACGAGACACTCAGTCTTTCAGAGAAAAGGGGCCTAAGAAGAACAACAGAAGGAAGGGGGCTAGAAAGGGGTAACGAGACACGGAGGAGCCAGAATCGGCCTTGGCAGAGCCTGTCTTTTATGTCTTTTGGTTGCTGGTTTCCAATTCCCTTTTTCTAGGAGGTACCAGGAGCTTCCATAAGTCAATATTGGGATCTTCCCTTCCCTATTCCCGGAAAAAGCCTGACTCAGGAGGGAGGTGATGCTTGGGCCCTTCTCTTGGGTGCAGGGATTTCTACGAATCTATCAGCCATCCAAAGAGGGAATGGGTGACTCAGGGGATGGTGACTCACTGGCTCCCGGATGCTGAGGAGGAGGAGGAGGAGGAGGAGGAGGAGGAGGCTGAGGTGGGAGGTCATTGTGCTGCGTTTTGAGTGGGATGGAATCGCTTTTAGTTGCCTTAAGGCAACTGACAGTGTGTTCTCGTTGCCTCGCCCGAACCACACCCCCTCAATGTTTCTCTCCGCCTTTTTCTTTCTGTGGTCATCTCGTGGGCGTCCATACCTCCCTCTCGTTATCCCTCCTCTCTCCCTTTCTCTTTTCTTCCTTTCTCCTTTCTCCTTTCTCTCTTTTCCCCTCTCTGCCTTCTTTCATCTTTTCATCTCCATCTTTCACTATTTCTCCTTTGTGACACTGCAAAGGTCAGGCCTGGGATCAGCGGACCGCAGCTGTGTGTACCCGAAAGTGTGTGTGAGGATGCGAGGAGGTGCTGTACGGGCTTCAGCTCAGCACAAAGATCTCTTTCATAATTGGAGATAAGCAGAAAGTGGGCTCCTTAGGTTGGTGTGAGGTCCTCATCTATACACGAAGCAAACTTGAAGGTGGACAGCCCACGTCAGGAATACGGCAGAGGAGATTCACATCTTGGTTTTGGAGCCCAGATCTGTGCTGACTCCCTAGGCAAGAGCCGGCCAGAGTGTTAATCTGGGTATACAATTAACAAATTACAAGGAGGAAGCCCCACATAATGAGAAGCATGGTTCCCATGTAGCACTCAGACCAGAACCAGGAAACTCACACCCGAGCCCCTAGGTCCAGCATGATGAGCTCTACGACCCTGGGATCCTTCCACCTTGGACATCCTGTGATTGATCTCTTTCTTCTTCCTGTGGCCTTGGTCTTTCATCTTCCCTTCCTCCCTCTCCCTCTGTGTGACAATGATATGAGATGATTAGGGCTGGTTCTAGTTGTGGAAATGAGTGTGACTATGAGTTGGTGTCATAGGTTCGATTTCCTGCTCAACTACTTCTGCTTCTCCGCAGGTACACACACATTGGCTGTATCTCACCCTTGGATTCTTTCGTCTACCAATAAGAAAGACCAGTAGATAAAGCGACCATTTATCCAGAACTCAAGTGCCAGTGGCAGTGTCAAGAGAGTTTTGCAGTCCCAATGAATCTCCCAACAACCACACAATCTAGCTACCTATTATCAGTATCCCCATTTACAGATAAAGAAATTGCCTCAGAGGCCCAGAGAAGTTAAGAAACATATATGAAGTCACACAGCAATAATGGGGCTAGGACTCACCCCAGATGTTTCTTTATATTCCAAAGCCCCGGGCTGATCAGCACTGCACTGCTAATGTGCCCAACACCAAGAATTTATGAGGCTTCACCTTAGATTTAGGGCTACATGGTATGTTCATAGCACAATATGCTTCTAAAAAACTGTTCCCCATTTTGTCAAAGGTATGGTGGGTGAGGTTATTTATTTAAGTCAGAAGAGGTGGTGTAAGAGAAGCTAAGCGTGCGTGTGGAGGGGGATGACAGTGTGCTGCAATGCAAAAGCAACACCATTAGCAGAGCGGCACCCTTGTGGGGGTGGCTGAGAGCTGTTAGCTTGCCATGACCAAGGGTAGTGTGGTGAGTCACCTGGGTGCTCCTAACACCTGCTGTCCCGCGCACAGCACTCTGTTGGGGGAACGTCTGTGCACACTGTGCAGGAAAAGCTGAAATATGCATGGTAACAACTGCAAACCCGGAACCCAGGCTCACAGAACTTCAGACTGGGAAGAAGGCATAGATATTATTTCATTGTAGGTCACTAAGACCTCCCCTACCATTTTAGAGATGAGGACATTAGTGGTCTCCGTGGCCAAGTGACTCCTCAGAGGGCCCATGGCAGATGCTGGCAGAAATGTGGAGAGTAAATCTCTAGGTTTAGAGAGTAAATCTCAAGTCCATGCCATTCTGCTAGCACAGATTCCAAGACTTCCGTTTCTTTCCCTCAAAATACAGGCTCTCATGAGTAGGGCCAACAGTGCTACGGTGCAGTTCACTAACATCTCAGACTAGGTAAGTGTTATTTTCCCTGGCCAATGAGCTGATACTCTTAAAGGACCTTTCCCCCCTCAAGGTGTGAGGTAAGAAGTAGTGGCTTTTAAAGTGCTCCTGAGTGGGGTTGTGACTCAGGAAGCCACAGAAAACCCAGACACATGTGAAATCCACCTTGAGTTGTCAATCTAATATATGTTAGCTTAGGACAAAAAAAGAAATTGACAGATGAGAAAGAAAGGGTAACTATGGTAGAAAAGGTTGGGAGGAGAGGAAAACGGAGCACGGGCCTTCATTCCCATTCTACAAGGGTTCTGCAGAGCCTGTGTTAGCTGTACAACCCTGCGCATACCAAATCATTCAGCTCAGCCATGTCTTTAACATCACACCATCTCCTCCAGAGGGCTGTGAGAACTAAGATAGGAAACCTGTGAAAGTGTACGAGGTAGGGAGGCTGTGGTTCCAAAGTCAACACGTAAGGTGAAATCAAGTTGCATTCCAATCACCAGGACCTGAGCCTTTACGTCAAAGGCCAAAAAAAACCTTCCTATATTTTCACTTTGCCTTTAGACTGCTGACTCTTTTTCTCTGAGACTGGGTAAGTCAAGGGCAAATTTGGAGAGGGGAGAAGAAGCCACAAAGTAAAGTAAAGTTTTTTTTTCCTTCCTTCTTTCTCAAATTGGATTTGTGTGAACACATGTGTCATATGATGTCATTGTAACAAATAAGTGAATATTATTCTGTGCTTATTAGGACTGTGTCTATAATTTAAGACTGAAGTAGACCACACCATTTAAATTTCCTAACATGACATAATAGCAGTGCTTCTCAAAGTTTACTGTGCACATAAATCTACGGGGGATCTCATTAAAATGCACATTCTGATCCAATAGATCTAGGCTGGAACCAGAGAATTTCCATTTCTAATTAGCTCCAAGGCTGTGCTGATGTAGGTAGTCTGAGGACCACATTTGGAGGAGCCAGGATTCGTAAGACTTCAGCTTTGAGGTGAAAAAGCATGAACAGGCTGGTGGGAAATAGAGATGAGGCTTTTCTTCTGAAAATGCAGAATTTGTGCATTCATCCCATGACACCCTCAGTGACAGGGCACTGAGAACTTTTCATCTTGACAGTGTGTTTAAAAGACGAAAGAGGTTTCCCAGTCTTACCATTCTTGGTTGGGTCATAGTGCGCACACCCTGCTGCAAGCTTCTCCATCTGAGAACAGCACCTCCACCTTCCATCCATCCAGAAATTAGGGTGATACTTGGATACCAGACTGTTATTATTCCTTGTTTCTGAAAGGAGTTGACACCAGCAGAAGAGTTATTTCCATGTCAGTCTATGAAGACCACCAATTCTAAGACTCCCTCATATTGGACCCCACTGTGTGGCCTGAAAGAACATCATCCAGAATGGTCAGAAAGTGGCAAGCAAATTCACTGTGCTATTTACTGAGGGAGGTGCATTGATTTAACCATCAGTAGACCTGGGTTCTTCTCTGGCTAGGCCTCCAGTTGGTTGTGTGTCCTTGGGTTGGATATACCTTCTTCTTGAGCCTCCTTTTTCCCCACTAAACGATAAGATTGGTAAACTCATTGTTAGGTCAGTGGGCCCATAGTAATGTGATACTAGTAATGGGAAGAAAGGGTGGGATTTCCATCTCCTCACTGCCTGCATCTTCAACCATAGCAGCTTTGCTTTATACCTTAGAGATGTGTGACCCTGACCTAAGATTTTGGTGGGAAACAAAGGGATTCTGTTCCTGCAAAAAAAAAAAAAAAAAAAAATTTTAAAACCT